TGTAAATCACACAGGAGAGAGGAACGTGGCATCAGGATTGGAGGAAGACTCATCAACAAACTGCATTATGCAGATGACACAACCCTGCTTACTGAAACTAAGGAGGGCCTGAGGCATTTGATGCAGAAGGTCAAGGCTGTAGCCTTCAATATGGGTTGAAGCTCTACATCAAGAAAAGAAAGATTCTTACCACTGGGCCAATTGGCAGCACCTTGATAGAAGGTGAAGAGATTGAGATTGTTAATAGCTTCAGCTACCTTGGCTCCACAATCAACACTCTTGGGACCAGCAACCACGAAATTAAAAAAAAACATTAATTGCATGGGAAAATCTGCTGTCAGAGACCTCTCCAGAGGACTGAAGAGCAATAATGTCAGTATGAAGATTAAGGTGTGCCCAATCCAGGCCACGGTCTTCACAATTACTTGCTACATATCAGAAAGCTGGACAATGATGAGGGATAACAAAAGGAGAATTGACGCCTTTGAGCTGTGGTGCTGGAGAAGAGTATTGAATATACCATGGACTGCTAAGAAAACAAACAGGTTAGTCCTTGAGAGGGTGAAACCAGGCTGTTCCTTGGAGGCAAGGATTCTGAAGCTCCATCTGACATTCTTTGGGCATGTGACCAGGAGGGATCAGTCCTTCAAGAGGGACATTATGCTTGGGAGGGTGGAGGGACAGCACAGGAGAAGAAGACCCTTGATGAGATGGATTGACTCAGTGGCTGGGGTAATGGGGGTAGGTGTGTCAGACACAATAAGGTTGGCTCAGGATAGAGAAGGGTTCAGGGTTGTTGTACACAGGCAACTCGAGGGCACATAACAACAACAAATTAGGCAAAAGTAGCTGATTAAAATAAACCTTTGAAAAAAATCTAAAATTCTGACCTCACTAATGCTATGTAAATTGCTTCACTTGATGATAAAATTATATTTGAAGCCATGTAAATTTGAGATGCCCTTTTAACAAAAGTCTGTCATGATGAAGCACGGTACCCAAGGAAAAGAATTCTTTTCAAACTCATATGGATAGAACTGTAAACTGAAAATATCTAATTTAGTATTAAAGTGCTAAGTGGTACAATTTTTTAAAACAACTCAATATTAAAGAAATACAAATCTGAAAACAAACTATCAAATACAATTGTTTGAATGAATCTCTGATACATTTGCAGTTTGAGCCCACCATCATCAGCTTCACAGGATAAAGCAGCAGCCTGCTCCTGAAAAGATTGTTGTTGTTGTTGCTGCTGCTGCTGCTGCTGTGTGTTACTGACCTGGAACCAACTCATAGCTAACTCTCCAGCAAGTTTTCAGAGGCAGTAAATCACAGGGAGGAAATCACACCTCTTTCTCCTGTGGAGCTGGCAGCCTAACTCCTTACCAATAAGTCATCAGAAATCCTTGTAAAGTTTATAACTTTGGCCGGTTTCTCTCTTGTGGTGATGGAAATGCTTGGGATAACACAAATCACGGGAACCATGGTATGATACAAAATGTGGTTATTTATGACTCTATAAGTCTCCAACAGTATAGTTTGCCAGACTATTCCCATAATTCAGGCTCCATTTCCCATTATAAGATATTAATAAAATAAATACAAATTCAGCATGGTAACGAGATACTTCCAAGGAAAACACTGGGAGCTCAGGGATTAGGCTGACATGATCCAATTTCATGATCTTATGTTGACAAATCTGAGGAAGCATTGTGACAGGCAGTCAATAGGTTGCTGGCACACTGACTGAGTACACACTGCCACTGGACTCAGTGACCATCACTATCTACATTTCCTGAAGCAATCTGGAATGTCTTGCATCTGAATGTGCACTGCATATCATCCATGAGCAGGAAAGTTTGTGCCTTTTGCCACAAAGAGAAATCTACTACTCCCTACCCAAGCATCTTTTTCTCTCTCCTCGTTTTGTTCCTCCTCAACTACTTTACTGCCTCATTACTCTTCTCTCAATTCATCTCGTTCTCTTTTCATGTTTCTTCATCCTTCTGTCCTAAAACCTAATACTGATGCATGTTGCAACTGATGAATAGTGCAACAATGAATGAGTGGACGCCCAAAATCTCTGTAAATGTTTATGAAAATTAATAAAATGTAATTATAGAAAAAAAATTTTTACTGATCTAAATATTGCCTACAGTAGGGTCTGTATTTGTAGTTTTACTCATGTAATTTATCATCATTTCTTCTGTACACTGTACATTCAATGTACATTGTGCCATGCAATAAGATATAAAAAGACAAGATTCCAATGTGTGGAGCTAGAGATCAGGATATGTCTACAGCTTCCGTAAACATCATTGTGTCCTATCCTTCCACTTCATCATATCTAATTTAGTACATTCATTTATCAAAAGCTATGTGACTCATCATCTCAAGTTCATCAGGTCAATCTCCCTGCCCAGGCACCATCTTTTCCATTTCTTAACATAGAACCTTGCTGTCCTCTGAAAGATCATAGCTCTTTCCTCCCCTCAGTTTCCCTTTTTATTCCAAGCAATTTCAAAACTCTGGCATGTATGAAACCTGCCAAAATGCTAATTCAAGGCTGTTGTGTATTTCTGTTTTCCAAACACCTCGCTCACCTCCCTCTACCCAAATCCATCTTAAATCTTAGTGTCCTACTCGTTCTCGGCTGTGACTCTCCACTTCCTGAACACTGTCACTGGCTAACCTTCAAAATATTGTTTTGCTTTCATTTGAATGCTATATATTCACCTTTACTTCTTTTTATAGTGTTTCTTACCACCCACCTCCTCCTGTTCAGTCTTCACATTATTAGCACTTCTCAGTTTTATATGTTCTATATAGTTTTACTGAACAAATTAAAGAAATATGTAGACATTTTCTCTTTTCTCATCTGTCTACTCAAGATCTTCAATTCTCTCTCAAGATATTTTCCAAGTTTCTTGAAAGTTACTTTCCCAATTCAATTTACTCAACTGGTTTTCTCTTCCTTAAACTTCTCAAAACCTCTGGGGGAAAAAAAAAAAGACCTACCATTGCTGTTGTTCATTCTAAATCTCTGCTTCTCTCCTTCCTTAGATCAGAACTGTCAACAACAGCATGCCTGAACATCAGGAAATTTGGTGTGGAGCTATATACTCAGTTAAACAGATCCATTTCCCAGCTGTACAACTCCTTGACTTCTTCTACCAGTGCATTCTTCCACCTCTTGCACAGCTGGCCTGTTTGGTCACTACAACCTATCATGAGCAATAAACTCCTTTTTGTCTTTAACTCATTTAGAAAGACTTCCCTCTTCAAGTCTAGGTCTCCTTAAAGACAGTACTAGGCTCTTGACTCACAAGACCCTGTCAGAGAAAGAGATACATTCTTCCACAAGACATACACCCTTAGGATCAGGAGTAGAGAAGGACCCACCTGATCCCTCCCCACACCTCAACAGACCAGTACTTGGCCACCCTCAGGGGAAAGCCTCTTTCCTCCTTTGATGCCCAGGACTTCTTACTAGACTTCCTCCCATGACTACTTGCCTACCTCATCATTCTTCAGTCCATGTGACCAACCTACCTTTTAAAAAATTTTTGTTATTTTATTGAAAATTTAGAGTATATTGGTTTCTCATTCAATCCATTATATACATTTTGTTTTCTAACACTGATTACATTCCCCACATTGCAACAGCCTTTTTCCTTCTTCCCTGAAATCCTCTTTTCATTTATCTTCTTTTCCTATCCCTTCCCGCCTTTTGAATTTTATCACTGAGAAAACACTGCCTTTTAAGCTTCTCAATTTATTGTCATCAAGTTGGAACCAACTCATTGTTGACTCTCTAGTGGGTTTTCAGAGGTTGCAAATCTCAGGAGAGGAGACTTTCCATCTTTCTCCCGTAGAGCCACTGGAGGATTCAAACTTTGTTTAGACCTCTTGCAATCTCAACAGAATCTACTCCCATGGACTGGCTTCATTCATTCAAGCCTGGTTTAGCCTTGCCCCATTTCCTTCCAAGCTTCCTTTCTTAAGGAATGACATTAAAACCTTGTGTTACTGTTACAATTTATCTTCTGTAAAAATGCTTCGACATATTTATGTTCTTTTTCTCCATGTAACCACTTCCTATGAGGTGCAAGCTCAAGATAATACTGAAAACAATTAATTTCAGGAAGGTTATATTATGCCTTACTCAAGCTTTCACAGTCTTAAAGAGTAGAACTGATGAGTCATCATAATTGAATGCATTTTCCTTCAATCCATCTGAGTTGCCTATGTTGTCAATGATTTAACATACTAGTTTTGGGGTTGTCAGGGATGGGTAGGAAAAACAGCATTTAATCAGAATAAGACTTAAGAACAGCAGTCTAAAGGAGTATCACTGTGAAGGCAAGGGCCACCTCGGGAGCTGTCTCCTACATGCGCTCTTCCCAGAAGCAAACGTTTAGACCATAATGGCTGGCTGAATCAATGAATCCAGTCAGCAAGATGCACGGAAATTCCACGCTCGACAAGACACTTTGAGCCCTCTGTGCTGTCTCCTCCAACCAAACCCAGTAAAGGAAAGCAGTCTGAGTACTGGAAGAGCCAAGTAATGATTAATCTGAGTAGAATGGGAACAATTTGGAAACTGCTGGAGGAAATTAATTTCAGAGGATTAGTATGTGACATGCTCACTACTGAATAAAACTGTACTGAAATAAAATAAAACTGACTGCTCCCCTGCCTGTCCTGTACTATGACATATTATAGGCCAAGACACAACCACGTAGAAATCAAAATGGATACACACATAGCAACAATACTGAACAAAGACTTAAATGATTTTTTATATTTATGACATATATACAAAAACTATTTTAGAAAAAAAACACCGTTTTTAGAAATACACCTCTAGTAATCTTTGTGCTTCTTGGATAAAAAAACTTTTATATTTTTATATATCCTAATGCAACTAATATTGTTTCCTGCCCTAGGACTGGCCTCTCCCAACAACAATGTAAATATTTAGCAAGTGACTAATTTACCTTATAGAAGATCAACAAAAGATCATCCAGTTTTCCATGTAAATCACCTGGAGTACAAAGGAAAAAGGAATGTTCAGTAGAACACAAAACGCATTGTCCATTTTGTTGCAGAATTTTAAAAGTGAAATACTACTAACAGCTCCAAATGTTATTAGGGCATTGGGTTTTTATCCTATGGTGCTATTAATTAATAAACAAACTGGTGTCATAGCCCTCTTTCTGTCTCTTATAGGAGAAGAACACTTTGTATTGCAATACCTGTTTCCTTCTGCCATATTGCTAGGTTTCCTTTACTCCATGTCAGTTATTAGGCTAAATGTTTACAAGAGTTACCTTGTTCAATCCTTGCATCTACTCTATGAAATAGGTATTGTATTCGTCATTTTCCAAATGAGACAAAGAGGTGATTTAGTAAGAATTGTGCTGCCAACCCAAAGGCAGGTGGTTCAAACCCACCAGCTGCACCAAGGAAGAAAGATGAACAATCTCCTGTCTGGAAACCCACTAGAGTAGGTCAGTTGTAACTCAACAGCAATGAGTTGTTATTGCTGTGGTGATGCAAAGTTATCCCAACAACCAAGAATTCAAACCCAACCTTAACCCACTGCCTTTTAATTGATTCTAACTCATGGGGACCTTCCTTTGGCTTCCAAAGCTATAAACCTTATTGGGGGCAGACTTCCTCAGGGAGGACAGAGTGTTCCAATTGTGAATCTTTCACTATGCAGCTAATACTAAATTTCATTTAAAACCCCAAACTTTTAATGATTATTTTCTACTGCCTGCAATCTCAAGAAGGGCAGCAACAGCCTCTATTTCCAAAACTGAACCTCACTGTCATCGAGTCAAACACAACTCATAAGTGAACCTCCAACAAAAACAACAACAACTTTTTGCTAGAAAGGACATAAGTAAAATTAAAACATTAAATCTATAAAGCATTTCTATGTAATGACTGAAAGGATAAATGTTAGTGTTAGCTACTGTGCTTAGGGAGTGCTGGTGGCGTCGTGGTAAAGAACTGCACTGACAATTCAGAAGCATGTGGTTCCAATCCACCAGCTCTGCACGAGATGAATGGGCAGCGATTTACTGATTCTGAAAACCTGGTGGGGGATCAGGTTTGGGTCCGTTCCAACTCGATGGCACACAAGACCAACACTATTGCTGTGGTAATTAGGAGCCCTGCTTTGCAATGGCTGATCATGTGGCTTCCAACATAACGCTTGGTGCTTTGAGCTCTCAGTTCCTTTGTGGGAGAATGAGGTGCTATGTGGCTTCTGTAAAGACTGACAATTGTGGAAACTCTGTGGAGTCGTCCTGCAGTGTCCCTATTGGAAAAGACTTGAGCACAACAGATCTGGGCTTTGAGATCTGGGATCTCTGTGCTGTGAAATTAGAGATGATTTGATTTTCATTTATTCTTTGTATTTCTGAGTTTTCTTCAGTGAAATTTTATAAAGGATCATGATGATGATGATGATTTAAAATACGAATAGAATTATAAGCATATATTATCTCACATATATTTTTGTAAACTTAGAATTAAATGTAATTTCAAGTTACCATTTTCCTCTAAAATAAAGTTTTCCCTCAGATTGAAAAAAAAAAAATAAGTGACCCTCCAGCAGGTTTTCTGAGTTTGTAGATAGCAAGTGAAGAGATCGTCCATCTTTCTCCCACAAAATGGCTGGTAGATTTGAATGGGCAGAGAGGTGCAACCTTTGGCTGAGTAGTGCCTACTGACTAGGCCACCAGAGCTTCCTGCATATTTTCTAATAAAAACCTCACTGCTGTTGAGTTGGAATGGACACAGCAGATTTTTCAGAGGTTGTAAATCGCATGAGAGGAGACTTCTCATCTTTCTCCTATGGAATTGCTGGTGGATTTGAACCACCAGAGAGGCATCACCTTTTGGTTAGCAGCATAACTCCCTATGGACTAAGGCAAGAGAGCTCTAGTCAGCATTACATCTTTTTTTGTTTGTTTGTTTTATTTTTATTTTATTATTTGAGTGTGTGTACCATCAAATCAGATCTGACTGGTACAGGAGGAGATTGTTCCTCCTTCCCCAGCAGAGCATCTGGTGGATTTGAACCGTGCGCCTCTGGGATTGCAGTACAGCTTCTTGCCACTAGGCCACCAGAGCATCTGAGAACTAGCAGGTATTCAATAAATATGTGTTTCACTACCAAATGCACAATTTAAAGCCATATTTTAAAGACTGCACTCTAGTAGTATCATACGAAATTTTAAAATTGTGAGTAGATGGTTGACATTACTTTGATGAGACCCATAGATTGTTGTTGTGTACCATCAAGTAGGTATGAGAATAAAATTAGTTTATAAGGAAGCCATACGAACATGCTGTTGTGTGCCTTCAAGTCCGAACTGACTCATAGCTAACCCTTCAGTAGATTTTCAGAGTCAGTAAATCACATGGGAGGAGATTGCCCATCCTTCTGTGGAGCAGTTGCTGTATTCATATAAGGCTATTGATTTAAAAAGAAGAGTGACTATGTGGATATTTTAAAAGCCTTATCTGGATAACTATTTCTAGGCAGCTCTGCTACTAAATTTTTTTTTAACTTTTTTTTTTTTTTGCTACTAAATTTTGATTCTCTGTAATTTAATTACCAAATAGAACTTAACTTAGAAATAATTTTCCTCAGGTTGTTTAAAACTCCACAATAAAGGTTAACTAAAAATATACAAAAGAAGACTCTAATTATAATGGGGTAATAAAATGAAAATTTTACATAATTTATGTACACTTATTTATAAAATATTACTATACTATTAAGAGCATATTCGTATTATTTTGAGATTCACTGCTTCCATACACTCTCTCTCCAAGACTGAGAAACGAAAGATGGAAGAATTTTTTTTTCTGATCACCTTAGTATAACATTTAATGATATTTTTTCTTTATTTTTTTCTGGTAACTTTTCTTTTGAATATTTGGATGCAGGACTGTTATAACTGGCATGTTAAAAATCAACTCTTTCAGCATATTGAGTAGAAATGACAAAAATCTTTTTCAATTCTAGCTAGATAGCAAAAAACACGGTTGCTGCACAATAAGACAGTCACAGAAAGATATATTCACTGCATACATAAACATGAATGTAGAAATGGGTATCATTTATAACATAACTGTAGGCTAAAACACCTTCTATATTTCATGCATGCTGGGAACTATGTGGCATATTTAGATATGCATATAAAAACGCATCCTAAATTTAAGTAATGACAAAGTTTCATCACAATTTCTCGCCCTTTCCTTTAAGACTTCACACTGGAACCAGGTGGGCCACCTGCTGAAAATTTGCATTTCCCCCCCAGAGTATTGAATCAGAATCTATTAATATATTTTAACAAGATCTGTAAGAATCACCTGGACAAGATGATGAGGGGGAGGGAGGGGCATCTAACCAGAATGAACCAATTTAAAGCCCTGCTTTGCGTATACTGTCTTAAACAGAGGCTTAAAAAAAAAAAGAGGTTACAATTTGAAATTGTTTTAAGTGACCAAATTTTCTTAAATTCAATGGATCGTAACAATTTTATACTAAGAATTCATGGTAGCTGAGTAGTAAGGAATTGTGCTGGCAGTGCAAAGGTACGTGGTTCAAATCCACCAATTGCTCCATGGGAGAAAGATGGTCAATTTCTCCCTAGGCAATTTACTGCCTCTGAAAACCCAATAGAGGGTCATCTATGGGCCAATTCTAACTTAACTGTAAAAACAATAACAGTACCGAATTACACTATTTAACAGAATTAAGAGAAAATTCTACATTATATTAAACAAAATGTGTATTATAGAATTAACAGAAAATAATAATTCTGTACTATATATGGTGCTCTGGTGGCCTAGTCCATGAAGAGTTACAGTGCTAATCTAAAGGCTTCTTCTGACAGTTCAAATCCAGCAGTGTGAGAAAAAATTGGCAATCTCCTCCCATGTAATGTGCAGTCTTAGAAACTGGAGGATCAGTTATGAGCCAGTTCTGACTCCATAGCAATGAGATGAGACATTAAGGGGAGCTATATTCTACCAAGAGAGATACATAGGAAAAGTCTGAAAATAAATAAAGATCCAAGATGTGGAACATCTTTAAATGAATGGAATTATCCAATCAATCCATTCTCTATCTTTTGTTTAATGGTGGCTAATCAGAGAAGTGTATGATGGGATCTGAAAGAGGAGATCAGGCCTGACTCTAATCTGGAATTTGAAAGACTTGATTTTTAATTCTGCCCTGTCACTAACTAGTTGGATGAGTATGGGGGAAAAGAACAAGCTACTTCATAGAAATTAATGGAAGTCAATTCCATTCTCTCCCTAAGCCTTCATTTTCTTTATAAGAATTCAGATTGATGGTCTCTGTAAGAACCTTCAGTTCTTCCATTGTGTGAGTCTAAGACTTCCAGGCCCTCTCCATGCCTTTCAGATCCTCTTCTCTAAAGGTAAGTAAGTCTTCTGTGGCAATTGGAAGTAATTAAGAAATGCGTGGGAGATCACACTGTGGTGTATTGTACAGTAAATCCAGCTCTGGGTTCCCAGGCTGGCATGGTTTCCTGTATCTCTGTGAAAAGTTAAGACCTGGTAAATAGCTTACATTAAAAGGCCCCACTGGCTGAGCTCTATCATCTGCTGGGCAGAAATGTGGTGGCCTGGTCAAGCTGAAATGATGCCACCAGAGACTTTTTCTTCAAAAGCTTGCCTCAGAGGACATTACAGAACTTAAACTGTTACATCAAGGACCTGTCACTACTATAAGATGCTCGGAAAGGAAATCATTTAATTAGGTTGTCAAATTTACTTCTACCTGCTAGAGTAAGAGAGAGACAAGTCAATAATTTATTTGGAGAATAACAGTAACTGCTTTGTAACCTAAAGGCTTAATTAGAAGTTATGAGGATGACTGTTCCCTCCACGCACCCCATTCTCAGACAGCTGCAAGCATGCTGGGCACCAACTGTGATGAATTTAAATGTGTACTGTTTCTTGAAGCAATATCCTGCCAGGCTGGCCTATATGATAACAAAATCTCAAATCTTGTTATTTAGAAGAACAAGGAACAGATTTCTGGGACATTCCCACTCTTCTAAAAGCTACAGAGGCCAATTGGAAAAATCTAAAATAGCAGGCAAGGGCAGTGAGGAGTTTAATCTCTACCCTGCTTTGGATTTTTCTCTTCTCAACACAAATGAGTGGCATAGAGAGGCCCAGCTAGAAAGAGCAATACACAACAATAATGACAACTAGAGGGAGGGCAAAGAATGCTTATTCCACCCATGGGTGGATTTCCGTATTAAAATGCTGTCTGCCTTTATAAAAAGCTATGAGTTCTTTAATTTCTCACATAATTAATTCCTGCCAGCTGGTATGCAAAACAAAGACAAGATGAGGAACAGTATTATCATGATAGATGACTCTATATCAACTTCTCCCCCTGCTTTACACAGTCCAAGTTACATAGTTTTCAAGTTGGGCAAATGATGTGGGACCAACAGGATCCTCGGTATTAATTTAGTGACTCTGCTCTGAAACTTACCACAGATCGTTATCTCTATGGAGGGAGAAGTCTTTATGTGAGAGATATTCGGCATTTGCATCAAGACTTTCTTGGCCTCAAATAGCACCGCTAAGACATAATGAGCATGAAGTATCTGTGAGGGGGAGGCAGAGAAATAGATATAATGAAATGGGAAGAAAGACATGATTATGCAGAAAATTATAAAGATGCCACATGCAAAAGCACATTTCAGGTAGCTTTATTTCAGGATAATCTTTAAATTATTCTCAAGTAGACTATTTTACCCCTATGTGTGACATATAATAGATTCAAATAGATAACTGCAAATTAAATTAGTGACTAAATGAATGAAAAACTATGTTCTTTTTTTAAAAAAAATTATTTTATTTCATTATTTTTTGTGTGTACCGTCAAATCAGATCTGACTGGTACAGGAGATTGTTCCTCCTTCTCCAGCAGAGCACCTGGTGGATTTGAACTGTGCACCTCTGAGAAGGTAGTTACAGCTTCTTGCCACTAGGCCACCAGAGCTCACTGAAAAACACTGTTCTTAACAGGTATTAAGAAATTAACTAAAAAAAAAAATTTAAAAAAGAAAGAAATTAACTGAACTATGATTATTCTTGGTCATGGTAGGCCAAAAGAAGTGACATATAAATAGGAAAATCCTTTCTGTTAAGGAAATCTGGAGCCAGACAAAGACAAAAGAAGGATGGAAAAGAAACAGAATGAGAGAAAGAAAACAGAAAGAGTCTGCTTAAGAGGTGCTGCTTTGTATTCGCTTGAGACTTTCCAACACCTGGGACGTCAAGGTGTTGTTGGCCTGGAGACCTCACAAGGCAGCCAATTTCTCAAGGAACTCCTGAGTCAGGTATCTCAGGTGTGGCTCCAATGTTCAATATAGAGACTTGAGAATTTACAGAATAGTAAGTACATTTATAAAAATGTCTAATTATGAGCTATATTCCAATTCCAAATAAAACATTGGATTATCTCCTATTTATGACTATTCATCCCATTGCTCTCCTCCAGTTATGGCATTAATATTAATTATCATTGTTTTGTACAGATTTGCTCAGTTTTCTCCCACAGACCTCATAAAACTAGTATGTTAATCTCTTTTTAAATTATAAAAGATTTTAAGTACATCATCCAAAAATACTATACCACATGTAAATATCACAGAGATTTAATATGGTATGATGTTAACACCACCTTGGAAGTTAGGACTATTTAAGCCTGCACTGTTCAACATGGTAGCCATGGGCTACTGTCCAACATTGAGGGTGAGTTCAAAATGAGACTGGCTACAAGTGCAAAATACCATATTTTTTTTTGTTTTGGTTTTTTGTGTTTTTTTATTTTACTAATTTTAATGAACATTTACAGAGATTTTGGATTTCCATTCATTCATGTTGCACTATTTTCTCTACCCACCCCCCAGTTCATTCCTTTCTTTTTTCTTCCCCTTGACAGTCTCTTTTAATTGTCTCATTGCCACAGTGCTTGTCAAAACCAATTCTGTTTAATCTCCTTTGTCAGTGTGTCCTTTGCCATTCCCTATATATCACTCCTCCCTCAGAGAGACTTCACCCTGATTCATAAGGAAAAGGGGATGGCGTATTCTCTTAGCTACTTCCTGCTGAAAAGGGATGCTGTGGGCTTTAGGGTGAAGATCTTCTCTCACTACTCTAAAGGTCTCCTTTGGCAATAGGAAACACGTAGACTGTTGTGGAGATTGATTTTGGAATTTAGATGCACTGCTATCAGTTGTGCTTAGCCATACATGTTCATATCCTTGAAGATGCATCATAGAACTGTTGCAGCCTAGAAGACACAAATTTAACTAACAAGTTAAAAGTACATGAGTCAAAAATTAAAAGCAATAATATTCCAAGTAGAGGTTCTAACAGTGGCACAAAAAAATATCATATTTTAAGGATTTTTTACTTTTAAAACGAAGGCAAAGGCAACTGTTATCAATTGTGCTTAGCTGTACATGTTCATATCCTTGAAGATGTATCATGGAAGTGTTGCAGCCTAGAAGATACAAATTTAACTAACAAGTTAAAAGTGCATGAGTCAAAAATTGAAAAGCAATAATATTCTGAGTAGAGGTTCTAATAGTGGCACAAATAATTTCATTAATAATTTTTAATATGATCACATTGAAATGATATTTTTTATATATCAGGTTAAAAATATTATGAAAAGTAATTTCATGTTTCTTGTCATCTTTTTAATGAACCACTAGAATATTTGAAATGCCATATGTGGTTCACATTATATTTCTACTGAACACTAATGGTTTACATTTTTGAAGGTGGAGAGATGGTTCAGATACTGCTTTGGAATAGAATTAAGCATAGTCAGAACTCTCCAGAACAACCTCCTTCACAGTCCTGACATGCTCATTTTGATAGCTATTAAAATAATAAAATTATTTTCCATCCAAGATCCCCAAAACATCTGATTTAAGTTCTGGTAATTTTCATTATTAAGGAATTAATGTTTTATAAGATGGAATAAGTAGGACTTGAAGCAATATGAGAATTAGGAAAAGAGCCCTTGAATGTTGACAAATATTTTCTCCCTAAAATCTAATGGACTAAATACTTTTACCACAAAACTATCTAGTCCACAAATGGAGTGAAAACTTAAATGTGAACCTTCCTTTAGCCATATTTTAAAGGAATAGGCAAAACACGTTTGTATAATGGTGTACTTGAAATTGCACGTTTAATGTATGATTCCCAATGTTATCTTAATTTGCCCCTGCAGTTTTTCTGGTCCCTTTGCAGCACTAATCAGACTAATTGCTGTCTGAAGAGGCAGTTTTGCTTTGGAAACAAGTTAAATTAACAAATATTCATTGAGAGTATATCACAACCACAGAAAATTCCTGATATTGAAATAACTTTCTGGGTCCTGTTGAGATTGCCTAAAATCTCTTTTTTTTGTTTTTTTTAAATTA